AATGAAATTTAAATGTTATAGGTGGACTACTAGAAGTGGTGGACATTAGATACATTTACCCCATATTCATTTATTCGATTCGAATTTAAGAAAATTATTGCTTTACTAAACATAACAAGTAATATTTAAAAATATTGAAACTAATATTTTGATTAACATTGTTTTTTAAATCACTTCGACAAATAATAATTTGCATTTAGTAATTGGACAATAAAATATTTTGACACTTCAACGCAGAGAATATGAAACAATTCCATAATAGGTTACGTAGTAATTATATTAATAAAAAATCCTGAAAACTAACAGTAAATACGAGTATAAAGAATAAAATAATATAGGAACGCTTACATTTAAAATATTCAAATATGAAATTACCAACAATGCTGAAAAGCGAAAGAAAGATCTTATAATTTTACACAGTGATGGAAATTTGTATTTATCGTTAACAATACCATTTCACTTTTAAAGTAACTCCTTGAAGAGTTATAGTTTACAAACCATGACATTCAGCTGAGCCTCAAGGATAATTCTCTCTAAATATCCCGAGTTACTCACCTTTAAGCTTATTTAAAATATTAGTTTGTTTGTGCTTTCTAGAATATAATTAATTTTTAACAATGCATTATTTAATTACTTCTAAATATTTAATAAATTAAGTGCTTTGACACTAAAAATCAATCATCTAGATTGTAGACTAATAAGGGTGGGTTTATCGAGGATGAATTAAATACTTCATTGAATTAAATTTAATTCGTTACGTGATTGGTTGAATTTTGATGAACAACCAATCAGATTTCCGAATTTTAAAGTTAATCGCGATTAACTTAATCTTTACAATTATTGGAAGGTAATGTAATTATAGTCATCACCAGGAATATTTGAGATTGACGTATGCAAAGCTTTATTGAGGATTAAGCAGCCTTGCGGTCGGCCGTAATAATTTTTCACTGCTGGTGGTACTACCCTGAAGATTTACAAAAGAGCCGTATTCAGGAATTTTCGTGGTAGGCTTTTAATTTATTACAGGCAAAGATTTGGGAGTTTATATATTAATTTAATGTTAAAGTGTTAAAGTAATGCAGATTTGTAAAGAAACAATCTCAAAATATAGCTGAATATTAAATTTTTTTGTTTTTGTTTGATGAAAGCCCAAAAACAAACTTCTGTTACGGACCATCTCTTCCTACAAACCTTTGAAACGTGCCTGTCCTAAGAAATGCAAATTTGTTTATTGCATCTCTACTGCAAATCCCATTAATCACCGTGGGGGGTAATCGTCTTATTCTATAATGAGTCTCAAATATTGTTGGTACCAACTATATCTACAAAAATATCAACATTCTTATGTACATAGTTCTCTACATTTGCAGAGAAATATTTTACACAAAACGAAATAATTCAATAAAAATATTAAAAAAACAAACACATTTCTCTTTTTAGTTAAAGCAATTAATAAAACACAAAGGCAATTTCTGTATCTTATTATTGAGGAATTGGGATCCATGCATTTTAGCCCAAATTTTGTTTTTTTCCACGTTGACACTTTGGGATTGATAAACTAATTTGATGGCCTAATGAGGCATTCTATCCGTAACAGTATAATAACATCAAACAATCAACTAACAAGTACAAAGACCTGTACTTCGATGTAAACGGTGCTTTATTATTGAATCCTAACTGCATACACACAAGTTATTCTTAGACTTGAGAAAATAAATCAGAAAATTACCTGTACGTCTTTCGGGACTTCTTTTAAATTAAATGGATCATTAATCCAATGATAATTGCACTGTATTATTTGTTGGTAGTCTGTAGGCTTCAAATCTGCAGAAAACATAACGAGCAAGTTTCATACTTTATGAACTTAACACCTACATGAATAATAATTACTACAAATGTAAGAGTATAAGTAAAGTGTAGTAAGTATAATTACGCATTGTACATAGTGTGTTCCAAGTTTTAGGGCCGGCGCAAAAATAAATATTTCTAATTAATTAAAAAAAAAATTGATAGTGTAAACGACAGAGAACTAAATACACCTTAATTTGATATTGTACAAAATTTTTAACGTTTAGTAAAATCGTTTTTCTAAGACCTACTAAAAATTTTATGACACATTATAAGAGATTAACCAAACAATGGCTTGAATTTGTAACCCTCCATAAATGGCACGTTCCTTTGCAAATGTTGCTGCACCCACTAGAATAAAACAGGGCCGTATTTAAAACTAAAGTAGTGGTAGAGTTTTACCAAGCTATTATTAAAAAAAATCAGCTTTATTTAATAATAGCTTGTTAATAACCACCTGGCTTTTTTAAAATTTCTTAAAATACTTGACTTAATAACCACTATATCAAAAACTATTAAAACATTTTAAGTATTTTAGTCAAAAAGAAAGTAGTAAGTAATCCGGCCCTGTTTCCTTGGTTTCTGGGTCCGGATGGGTTCCACTAATTTATGATTTGTTTACCCTCTGGTTTATTCTTAACAATACCGCATTTAACTTAAAAGTAATAAAATTTTTAGAAGGTCTTAGGAAAACGATTTTACTATATGGCAGTATGACCTTATAAATTAAATTTGGAGACCATAAATTTCAATTAACTGGAATATTTTCTACATGATAAAATTCTTTGATTTTTTTCTGTAATATTTATGAAAATGGAACAATGATAAAGTTGATAGATTTGGAATAATTAACATTTTAATATTGAAAATCTGAAGCTTGGAATTATTTATGGGGAAGGTTGCGGTAATTGGTGATCAGGTCAGAATTTCTTGACAAAAGAAAAGGATCCGTAATGACATTTATGACGTACTCGGGTTATATTGTCAATGCATTAGCAGCGCATCATCCCAAACTTGGCCATAAATTACCAGAATTCCCCAATTTTCAATATTAAAATGTTAATTACTCAAAATCCATCTTAAATTATTATCAAAATCTATTTTACATTATTCAATTTTCACAGTTATCATTAGAAAAAAATAAATAAATTTTATCATGTAGAAAAGATTCCAATTAATTTTTTTTCCAAATTTGGTTTTTAGGGTCTTACTGACATATGCTAAAAATTTTAAACAATATGAAAGCATCAAATTGAAGTCTATATAATCCCATATCGTTTGCACTGGCAATTATTGTTTTAATCAATTAGAAATATTTATTTTTGCGCCGGCCCTAAAACTTGGGATACCCTATATTATACTAAGGATAAGAAAACAGGCAACGTAAATATATTCTAAAACAGAAATTTTACTTATTATGTACTATCAAACTAAATAACGCATATCTATATCTTTTTATTTCATAAAAAATCTGGTACGACTTTCCTTATCCAACTTATTTGGAAAACATCATTACGACAATAATGTGTTGGGAATCCGAGTAGCAAACCTAACGTTTGCGTTAGTGCCCCTGCCAGATTACACGCAAAATAGATCATAGTTGTCGCATGTTCGAGTTTGGAGTGCAATTTTTTTTTTTAGTTCGGTACTCATTATTATTTTTATTTTATCACATTTTCTGTTTAATAAGGTATATTTCATGATTCTAAATAATTTTTATCCCCATGATTTTATTGTATCTTTAACCGTATAATTTCGCGGCCGCTTACGGCCGATTTTTGGTCTTTGCGACCGAACGGTGTGACTGATTTTTACCAATTGTTTCGTGCTGCGTCCCCTTCCTACAAGTAACTTAGATACCAAATTTCAAGTTTCTATCGCTTATCGTTTTCGAGATATGCTGTTTATTCTTACTTAAGGAAAGTAAAAATATGTGTATTCACGTAAGTTAGTAATATCAGAAATATAAACTGAAAGTAAATTTCAAAACAAGACAATTTTCAGAAAACTATACATTACAAATTCATTGACAAAGTTTCTTATTGTATACAAGGTGAGTCTTAACTTATCCGCATAAACTTAGAGGGATCGGACGGTTATGTATGATCAATAATAAGTAAAAAAATAAAATAAAAATAAGTTAAATAAAACTTTTTTATTTTTGTCGAATATCAATAAAAAATACCACTTAACCCCACTAAAATAAAACTAAATCGATTCACTTAGCTATTGACACACATGACGTGAACAAAAGTAATGTGGGTATTGGTGTCGTCAGCGCAAGTTATCTAAAATGTAAAGTCTAATAGTGTTTTAAACACGGTGTATCTCGGTAACTAATAATAATAAACTTTTATTAGATTTTTTTTTCACCATTAATTATTATTTGGCATAACTTATCATAACCTAAAATTATGCGTATAAGTTAAGACTCAGCCTGTATATGTATTAGATGTGACATACTTATATGAAATAAATGGTAAAGAGCAAAATTCTTTTGTAAGTCATTTTTCACAATCCAATTTAACACATCTCATACAAGTTATTTAACAATATGAGAAACACGTTAAAATTAGTAACAAATTTACCCAATTCAGTAATTCGGAAACGAGGTACTATGGGTACTTACTATGTGAAAATACAAATAATTATTTCACTTACTAAATAACCGCCTATTGATTTCCAATAACAGTGACAGTGTTACACCAAACCATTCATTAATAAAATATCAAATGACTTCAGTTTCCAAATTAATGAACACTAAAATAAAGCATTCATTCAGGAAAACTCGTTGGCAACGTGTTATTTTATTAGGTACCTGTGCAGATTATTAAACATTCTTTTGTTTATCCCAGCAATTTGTCTGAATAAAATTTATGATCCTGAAACGCATTCATTAATCCGAGAGAACAGATCTGTACTCGAGATAACAAGTGATAAAGAAAATATTTTAGGAGCGGAAGCAATTAATGACGTAACAACAACAATACCACCGTGATATTGAGTCACAAATATGTGATCAACTGATCACTGATCTGTAATTACAGTGGATCCCAATTTTCTAATCATATGACTCTATGTCGAACGTGAACGTAAACGCAAACACAGTAACACCGTAACGTATAATCAATCATTCTAAAGGAAATTATTACCATCGCCAATTAATAATCCAATTGAGCACCAAAATTACAGAAACAACCATCACTGATCCCCATGTTGTCTAAATGCCACACCACACGATAAACAATGACGCGAACATTACGAAAACATAAACAATCGTGTCGGCTTGATACGCACCGTGCGTATTTTAATCGAACGACCTTGCCAACATGTCTCATTAAAACCGAATTCGTGAAAATTATGAAACTTGTCCTTCGAATTCGAACGTATCCGAGAGAAAATCGAAACTTCGTTTGTTGTCCATATTGAGCAAGCAGTCGAAAAATTCGTCATTGACGTGTGTTACACAACGAGGATTCCCAGAAGACTGGATTATCCAAGAGTGGTACGGCGGGCGGTCGACTGCATAACCGAGAGCGCTGGTCATGGCACCGACGGAGAAGGCGTCGTCGCCGTCGTCACGAAAGATCGATGGCAACTGCTCCCCATTCATGGAGAGGGAAACCGCGCCACAGGGTCGAGTCCCTATCCTTGATACGTGAGTTCGCCGCGCCCTTGCGCTCTCGATGACGGTCAGCTGATACGACTGTGGATCAATAAACCTCCCTCCTCCTCCAAACACCATCTCATCTCCTCTCGGCCTACGACAACCGAAACTAGGTAGCGCCCCCGCAATCCTGGTTTTGGATCCTTTCCAAGTACAAGCTTCTGGAGACGATCGATGTCTGCGTGGATCTATATGGTGGTGATGGATACATCCTCTCCTTTGTAGAGGCCTTACCACACCCAAACGTAGAACATAAACCTTTGCTCAAAAAGTAAACAGGAGCAACCACTACTATACAGGATGCGCCAGAACTCGCGCCCCAGAGAAAAATGCCATATAAGGTAAGATACCAGGAACATGGAAAAAGTTATGAGGGTTTAAATTTTGCATTTTGACTTTATTTATTTCTGTTATAAAAATAATTTTCCAAGTTTTTTTGCTACAGGCTATTAGAAGAGGAAACAAGGAAGCTGTATCCTAAATTGTAATTTTGTTCGATGTTATTTGTTAATTGTAAAAAAACATATACAAGATCATCAGTATCATTAAATAGACACAAAAAAATGTCATATGTCAAAAAATAAATGTCAAAATTTTTTGACAGATAGAATTTTTTAAACATTTTTTCCATGTTCCTGGTATCTGACCTTACTTGAAAATTTTCTGGGGGCGCGAGTTCTGGCGCTCCCTGTATAACTCCTGTAATTGACTGGACAAGACTCTTCTAGCCACCTTTAAAGTGACCAAAGTCTATAAATTTTAATGTGGATGTGTCTAGAGCAATTTTAAATAAGTGAATTTTAAAAGTTTATTACGAGTGTGTCATTGTGGACAGTAAAAAAACTTAACGATCATGAATTTTCAAGAGAAATGTAATGTAATAATATTGTTTTAGAAAGTTTTAAAATACCAAAAATATCCATCAACCTTATGTATAGTTGGTGCTAACAATTCGGCAATATTTTAAAATTTCTGAATGCTTACAATAGAAAAAAACGTGTTTAAAGAATGTGAAAAAAAATTGGAATCTAGCGTATATCATTCCCATACCAAGAGGATCCAAATAAAAAGTACTAGAGTGTATCAAAACCTATTATTTTTTGTAAGGTAAGTATGTAACACTGCAACAGTGTATAAGATTTTTATAAAACAAAAAACTCATCATAAAACATTCTAAAGAAAATGACATCGGTAAACATACATAGGTGCACAGCTTATAATATAATTCTAAGAGTAGACAAGTAAAAAGTAGTAGTTGAAAGACATGAATATATGTATATTTAAAGAGAAAGATAATTGAAAAAAAAATGTTTTAAAACTACCCATTTATAATAAACTAAAATATGAGAGATCAAAATTTTAGTGTAAAATAGTGGAGTGTCAAAAAAGCGTAAACTGAGTGTATTTTTGATTTTAAAGCTATATTTCAAGACTTTTCTACTGTCATTCTGTCACTTTTCAGAATGTTTTTTTTTTATGAAATGGTGAAGCCTCGTGGCTCCAAATTTGTCAATAACACATATCATAACACATATTATTCTTTAATCCAAAAATCAAATGTTTGTGACCTATTTTACTTTAAAAAAACGCAGTATGTATCAATAGAAAAGTCCCTACGTTTAACCATACAATTTATTTTTTTAATTGCTGGTGGGGGTAATGTAAATCTAGAACACGACATGACCTCCGTCTGTTTTTGACATTTGACAGCTTCTGAAATTTTGGTATTGAAGCCAAAAATTAAAGCTTCTCCCGGGCATTAGGATTTTTAATAGGACTTGAATTACGATTGTTACGATGATATAAAGGGTATAAATATTAGCCTCAAAACAGTTTTCTCCATTAAAAATGAAATTACAAATGACATACGTGACGGTAAGACACACTTTTGACGTACATCACTAGCTCTGCGTTACTTTAATCGCATTTGTTAGGTTAAGTGAGATAAATAGCTTCACCGAACTTACGCAAATACGTAGCAAAAGAGATAGTGATTTGGTACGTCTTTCTAATTATTAATTGATCCATACGCATATTTTTTTAGTATACTGAATTGGTAACTAGCGTTTACACAGTTACAAAGGAGTCCGGTAGATAAAATTTACCGGCCTAGGCCGGTAGTATAGTCTACTGCCGGTCGGTAGTCTACCTGCAGGACTCGTCTGTATAGTAAAATCGTTTTCCTAAAACCTACTAAAATTTTTATTACTTTTAAGTTAAATGCGGTATTGTTAAGAGTAAACCAGAGGGTAAACAAATCATAAATTAGTGGAACCCACCCGAACCCAGAAACCAAGGAAACAGGTCAGTTTTTAACAGGGCCGGATTACTTACTTTCTTTTTGACTAAAATACCTTAATGTTTTAATAGTTTTTGATGTAGTTGTTATTAAAGTCAAGTATTTTAAGAAATTTCAAAAAAGCCAGGTGGTATTAACAAGCTATTATTAAATAAAGCTATTTTTTTTTAATAATAGCTTGGTAAAACTCTACCACTACTTTAGTTTTAAATACGGCCCTGTTTTATTCTAGTGGGTGCAGCAACATTTGCAAAGGAACGTGCCATTTATGGAGGGTTACAAATTCAAGCCATTGTTTGGTTAATCTCTTATAATGTGTCATAAAATTTTTAGTAGGTCTTAGAAAAACGATTTTACTATAACTATGTAAATGCTAGTTAAATTTTTGTTTTCATAAATTTTTGTTTAATTTGAAAGTGATCGTTCAGTGTCCTGAAAAATCTTACACAATCTATGTAGTACCGGTAGCATTTTTGTGGCCTTGCCAAACATATAGGTCTCGCCTTACGGCTCGATCTGTAAAGTATTGGCGCGTCCATAAAAATGTTGCTACCGGTCTAATACCATAAATAGCTATTGTTCTACCACCAAGTCACCAAAATTAAATGTACATATGACTTGTGTAAATGTCATAACACCGTTCTTTTTTCACTGCTTATGTTCATTAAAATCAAAAACCTTACTAATTAGTGTAATTAGTCATAAAAAGAGATTTAAAAATACTACTTACTTACTACCAAAACGAGTAGGTAACAATTAAAATCACTTGTAGTAGTTGTAGTGTTTATAATTGTAGGTATACACACCTAATTTCACTATCTACGAAAAATGCAATGTACTTTACTACTAGTGTTTTTTTTTTATATGACACAAACAAAACCTCTCTTTAAACTGTGGCAAATATCAAAAACATTCCCTTATACTAAAAACCAGTACTTAGCATGTCGGTTTTGAATTCGCATTTACTGAAATACTTCAAAAGTGAATTCATTTAGGTGTATAGGAAATGACAGTAACTATAGCAAAGTTCAGTACCTATAATTTATGTACCTTTTTAAGAAAAAATTCACTGCGATAAAGTAACATGCAATTAGGATAGAACTGTAACGATTATATCATCTCTTCATATCCTGTTAAGGCGATCTGCTACTTTCAAGGAAATAAAGTAAAAGCTCATTTTCAATCATCTCTAACCTAATCATTAACTTCTTGCTTCGGATCAAGCTATCTAAGTGTAGACCATACTAAAAGTTCACTTCCTACTTTTCCTCTCAAAATATATGAATTTCAACATTATTTAAGGTTAGTATCTAGGTATAATAAAAAAAAAATTGTTTCAAAAAAATGCAACAATGAAGTGTTTCAATCATCGCCCTACATTCCAAATTCGGATTTTAGATTTTTATCGTGATGGATGACATTCATTGACGCCAAATAAAATAATCACTCACAAATTCAGTTTTCTTATCGTACGGCACAAATCTACAAAATTCATTTTAACAGGCGTAAAATATGGTTTATAATTAGCCAACCATTTGAATTTATTTAAATATAAATAGGAAAGCAATTATGTTTTTGTGTAGGTCCTCACAAAAGAACTGCGACCTTGACGAGATACAGAGATACATGGTCGTCAATTTTAGAACATTTTGAAATATTTTTCGAGCAAAAAGTTACTTACATTAGAACGGAGACAAGGCGGACACGAAGTAGATTCTGTATATCTTCCGGAAATTAATAATAAATGACAATAAGTTATTGTTGTTGGATTTACTAACTAGTTAATTTGAACTTTGTTACGGTTTTGGACTTGTAACTTTTCTGTGCGTCATTGTACATACTTATACTTATTCATTTGCATTTTCTCTGATGGTAAAAATACTATAATAAAACAGGAACCGTCAAGAAAAGAGCTCTTTATTAACCAATTTTTCTGAATATGTACATTCCAATTTAAATGCAATTGTATGTAGGTACAGCGTGATGATTTAGGACTGTTTAAGTTGGCAACAGATTTGAAAGTATTTTTGTTAATAATTTGTTACACTGCAACCGGATACCGTTTTGCTTGACAAATACTTGACGTACAACCCCTCAAGATTGCTAAATCGTTGTTAATCAAAAGCCTACTCCAATGGTTTCCTTTAAAAATTTAAGTCAGAATTGCCAACAGACTCATTGATTCTTGATCATTTTGTATATTAACAATTTTTGGATTTTTAAATGTAGAAACAAAAATTTAAGTGCCAAGTGCTAAGCATAAAAAAATAACAGACATAAAAACATATAAAGAGAACTAAGTTCTATTGTTGTGTGCATAAAGCTGAAATTATTAGACAAATGTTTTTATTAAATTGAATGCCATTACATTTTCTCTTAAATTATAGTGATAGAGCATAAACTTAATTTTCAATACTTATTTATATACGTAGATATAACACAAATTCTTTAAAATGATGTTCTGTGCGTAATTCTTGAAAGTTTCTTGGTGAATAGAAGATTTAGTGAGATATACAAAAAAAATTATATCAAGACACATAAGACCAGCCTTAACATAAAATATGTATTGTTCTTCGGATTTTGAGTATGTCAAGGTATCTGCTCACAGCCCACCTTAAAAATTTGCATATTTACTGATAATTAATTTGTGATTTTGGTGAAATGGTGGAACAGTCAAAAAAGTAGTGTCTTTGCGTCAAATAAACGTCTTACTGAGTAAAAATAAATTTAGTTCTTGGCGACGACGAATCTATTACCCAACACATGTGTTTATTTTTTTATATGACAGATTATGTGTTTGGAAATTTTTTATCCTTTTTAATAAAAAACCAGAAATCGTTACTTTCTATCCATAAATATGCCTCTCTTTAATAGATGTTAAATTTAAAAAGTGACAAATTTTTGTGATAACATAAAAAATGACACCATGTAATCTACAGTTGAAGTGTAACATATTAGATCTTGCCTCATCAGCGTCTTTAAAAATAATAATAAAATAACACAACAAAAG